GTGTGCTTACTCTACTGCTTATATACAACCATGCTATGGTGTTCTAACTATTATTATTATTCACATAGACCAAGTGGCTTGTGAGTCACAGTGCAACTGTAATTATATATATACATTGTTACATATGGAGGTGACGCCGCGTTCTACTTTTATTGAGTAAATAGCACAAACAACCCCAATTTGCGAGCATGCTGTAGTGGAGAGTGTACCGGAGCCGATGCTATGCAACCACTCATAAAGTCTCATTCACATCGCTGACCCTGAACTGTACAGCTCGAGGTTTTTAGTAAAGGCGACAGTAAATAGTAATCATCCGTATGTCAAGTCAAGATGTCACGTCGAAATTGTACATGGCTCGGTTTCGTAAAGCATCAATGTTGTTTCTATTCGAGAAGAACCCTGTATTAGATGTAACATACGATCAGGAGTGAAAAATAATAGATCATTAATATTCACTCCTGAGACGATGCTTTCAAAGACTATATTAAACCTTGCATGTAACATTGTACAAGAATACAAAAGCAAACTCGCAATAACAACCCCTAGAAATGGTAACTGCCAAACGACGCTAACAGGACCTCTCCGGCTGTTCTACTAATACCTAACAAACAACCTAAATGTAACCCGAATAATTACAGCTTGGTGAACACAGAAGCAGCGAATTGGCACGCGAGTGGTGGAAAATGCGCCACATTTAGTAGAAATCAAGCCAGGGGCTGCTAGAAATGCTCGCTGAACCAGCAGACCCACTCTAGGTCAGCGAGCGCTTGTTGGTGAGCGTTGCCGAGGCAGGCGCATCGCCGTCACGCTCGCACGCCAACGTGCTAGAACAGGCCCAATACCTGCTATGCGCTGGCGATCGTCGCACGGGAGTTCACCTTGGGCAACGACTCCTCTCGTCTCTGTTTTGAGGGCAAGTTTTTGAGATCAGCATCGTTACAGATGCTTTCCGCGCCATGCATCGAACAGGTGACCTTTGACGTGCCATCGCCACGCCGCCTTACAACTATTTCCGCCACCCACGGCACGGCCCGCGAGTCTGCTGATCCCGTAATGACTTAGAACACGGAACTCCGAGCGGTGAACTGGTCGCAGACCCACTTAGCTGCAATGCCGACACAAACCTCACACCAGACCCGGCTGCTTCGATGCGGCGAGCGGGAGCAGTGAGAGCCTATTAGGCAGATGATAATGATGTATCTTGGTTAATTTTTACTTCCACCGTGTCATCAAAAACTACTCGCTGACGTTTCGCCTCCTATCAGGAAGCTTTCTCAAGATGACATGAGCTTTAGCCACGTCAGCTTGGAAAGACTCCCGATAGAGGCGAAACGTCAGCAGTACGTTTTGATCAACACGTTCAAGTAAAAACTAACCAAGATAGATCTATTATCGGGACCAACCGATATGAACTTATTTAATGGGGGAGATGGATAAGCACTCACCTGGAAGCTGCCATAGATTCATGAGCATGATCGAGATGAAGGAAGGTCGAGATGCGGAGAGCTCCATCAGGGAGTACGCCCTGCAAACAACAAACAGCACGGCACGTTAACACGCGTGGTCGCGCGCATTACAACGAGAAAACGATATTCAACCCTTGGTGACAAACTTCACGCAAAGTCATCAAAAAATGTAATTACATTTTCAACGACCCTCGTTCAGCTTGCCCAATAGAAAAAAATAAAAAAAAAAAAAAAAAAAAAAAAAAAAATCAACTAAAACAAAGAGTTAACAAGAGTTAACAAGAGCATGGATCTCTTGTCTAAAAAACACCAAATATGTGAACAGAGCGTTGTCCTATGGTCTACCAACTCAACACTTTGCCTGGCGTATCAGGCAAGACACCACAAGCAACCAACACAACATTTGTCCTTCTAGAGGAGATACTACAAAGTGAATGACCGCTAGATATGCCAAATGGGAGAAAACACAGCCATATCGATCAAGTTGTACAGCAGAAGTGACCATCAATTGATCAAGTTTCCCCTAGCGCCAATAAAAAAAAAAAAAAAAAAAAACCACATACAAACACGCACACACAGACACCATCACCCGCTAAATATACTCACGCGCTCTCCCAGACACACTGGAGCAGATACGTATCATTCACGTTATATTTACACGAGGGTGTCGATCTTATGTTCAATACTTCGTAAAAATCGTCACGTTGTAGGCAATTTCGCCTTGATGTCCCACATGGTACATTGTAGCCCTCATGGTGACTAGATGGCTGTATTCACGAAAATGCCTTCTAGTTAAAGCTTATGCGTTCATTAGTCGCACGCGTGTGTAAACAAGATACACGCGAGCGGTCCCAGCCCCCCCGTACGCACGTGAGAATGAGACAACAGCACCCTATCACAGCTGGCCAGCGTGATGGCGTGAGAAATCGCACGGCTGTCGCGAAAGACGCGAGCGTGCGAAACTCACGAGGTGCGCCAGGCGAAGAACACGCGTGTTACCGGCTCTCTACGCCTGATGCACACAGAGCTGGGCTTCTCTCCTCTCTCTCGCTCCTCTCTCTCTCTCTCTCTCTCTCTCTCTCCTCTCTCTTATCTTCCCTCTCTCGCTCTCTCTCTCTCCTCTCTCATCTCCTCTCTCTCTCTCTCTCTCTCTCTCTCCTTCGCCTCTCCTTCGTTCTCGCATGCGAGCGCACGTGTGCCGGCACCAGCATGTTGCGATGAGGAGCATTGAGAGAGCCCGGCTAGAAGCGAGCTATGATAAACATGATCCTAGGCTCACTCATGCAGAGAGACACTGCTGCTGCTGACCATACCTGCCTGCCACAGAGTCTCACTATTTCCTCCTCCGCGCTACCTGGCCATGCTAATAGCCTGCGCGACCGGTACTGTCCGCCAGGTAGGGCAGGGTAGGTGTATCTCACGTTATGCGTGATTGGATGAGTCTAAATCAGTAATGCTTAGACGCGATCCCGATGTCCTTCGTGCACGAGGACAAACCGAGGGTAGAAGAACAGTAAATTCGCACCCCAATCGCTACAAGCGTTTTAACTCGGTTCTGCGGTGTTGCTTGTTGGGCCAATGAACGAACGGACTTACGATGTGATTTAGCTGTTCGCTGTCTGCATTGCAAAATAATGGGAGCAACACTTACAAAAGCGCTGTCCTTTCTTCGAAACGAACCCTCCCAAACTGTAAGCACCACATAAAAAATGACAGCACGTATTATGGCCAACACAACAACCGAGTCTTTTGTTTTTGGTTTTTGCTGTCGAACTTCAACTGTCACACACATATCAGTCGTTGTTCACAAGAGAAATGGTCTACAAGAAGTCTAGGTAGTACGGTGACTTTACTGCTCGAACGATCACTAGCATTAATTTAGATAGCAAACGTTACAGTGATTGGTCAACGTGCCATTAAATGCATCAAACAATTTAAAGTAATTTTATCATATAAAACACGTGTTGTGTTACCACACAGTAAGGTCACTACTTACTTATTTTTAAATGAGCCACACTTTTAATCAAGATAGCAAGCGTTATATGTGGAATTACAATAATTGCGAATACAATTGGACAAATAACTTATTATACTTAGCGACAGCCAGCATATCTCAAGTATTCAAAATATCTGCACTTAATCTAGTCATTTTAGTCCTGTCTGGTTAACTAAAAAAAACAATCTATCCAAGAACAAGGAGCTCATAAAAACAAATTGTTTTTAATTCACCCCTCCCTCCCTGCCAAGAATATGGGTTGATACTATCTACATATCACAAATTAATAACAGCTATTGATAAGTAAGAGAGCATGAAATTATTAAACTGCGCCTCATTCTCTGCTGGATCCGGTATGTTCGCACGACAATGCTGACGCGGAAACTATGCAGGCCATTGCCCATTAGAACTAGCTTCACGAAGCATCATTATATCGCTGCATAGACACGCCTTTGCGCCGCGCGTGCCACGACAACATTAAATCACAATTCCAACAAGTGTGAGAGCAGAATAGCATTCAGCGGTGTCGTAACGACCAATGACGATGTTTTGTGTTGATTTTCATTGGCAATAATTAAGCAATTCGACAGCAGCTTTGTTAACCGATGCTTTATACTCACGTCTTTTCGAGTTCACTAATGCCGTACATCAAACGGTGCCATACGAAACACACGAAAACTTGTCGCGCTTCTTAGTTATACGTGCCTTATAGATTTATCCCCACATTGCTCAAAAATCACTTGACTGAGCGATATTATCTGAACACAGTATTATCAACGAAAATTATCTATAGATAAATCTATTAGCTATATGTTTTATTGTGTCTACGCATTTGCCGCCACGCACAGCATAAGAAATCCTCGCCACCATACAAAAGTAACAAAAAGAGCCGCCAGAGCGTGCTGGGCCTCAATCTTGAAGTCTGTTGCTACGGTTATAAACGTAACATTTAAGTCGTGCTTAGCCTGACACTTTTGTTACGGCACAGATATGCAGATACGCAGGTTGCGTACACATCATTTTTCACAACCTTCTGCTATTCATCTGATGACCTCCCAAATCCCCATTGTTGATTACAAATCACGTGCCTTGAACTTCCTGTTTTATGGTACACTAGCCTGGCACCTGCGATGGCCGGGATAAAGGAGAAAAGAGCCTAGAATTTAGTCTGCATGACGGCGTACTGACCTTATTCTGATTTTATTAAATCTGTGCCAAGGAATTTCATTCTGTCAGGTCTGCAGCGCTTCTTGGGTACACAAACATTTCTGAGTCTTGCCACTTCAGAGAGGATGTAGAAGTTGTCTGGTTACTCACCCTGGAGCACCCCACATAGAGCTCCATGGGAGAACACGGCGCTGACTGAGGTGAGTCCAACGACCTTGAGGGACTGGGCCTGGGCTTGTGAGGACATGGACCAAAGCTAGATGTGACGTGCGAAACTGCCCAGCCTCCTTGAGTTCAAAGCAGTTCTGATGGATGAGCGGATCCTTGGGATGAAGAATTTTCGCCCATTGCCTTGCCTTCAATGATTTGGCTTCGCATGACTCTGCGTATGAGCGCCTTCACTGTAGCCTTGTGCCTTTCAGAGCTGGAGCATCCAGGTGCGCAGTAGCAATATCCGGGCCGCCACGACCTCAGCACCAAGCTTGTGTCGGCTGCAGCGTGAGGGCGCCAGGCTGTTAAGAAACTCGTCGGGAGAGGCCACCACCTGGCTGAGGATCAGGAATTGTTTCGACTCGAGTAGCTCGTTGGGCGCCAGGCAGATTAGCTCCAAGCAGCTTGGCCGTTAACGGCGCATGTGTTCATTCCACGGTCCCAAATCTTGGGACGAGCAAGGATGGCTCGCTCGCTCAAGCCAGTCTTGGTCTGTAGCGGGAGGTGGCAGGTTGGGGCAAGATTGGGTCATCAGCTCGGGGTCATGTCCGCCCGCTGTGTTGCCGAATGGCAGCTTTGACTTGCCAATCGGTTCGGTGGTGAGTCGGCCATTGCCGACCTCCAGCAGTTGCTGAGGGGAGCGGCCCATCTTCTCATCCGCCCGACTGAGCTGCCACTCAGTCTGGTGGTTTCGGGCGTTGTGGCGGTCCACTCGCTCCAGAGGTACGACGCTTTCGTGTCTCCTTTGAAGCTAATAATTTCGTTTTATTGTCGCTGTAATTCAACAATAGAGCTACAAAAATCCCAGTAAAATCAGAAGAACACCGTGAAAATGCGCACTCGATGCATCAGCACTGAATTAGTAGGAGGGTATATAGCGCCACCGTGCAGACAATTATTAAAATAATAAGTAATTTTAATATGCTAATTTGACATTTAGTGTATTTTTGCTAATTATTTTATTTTTTTGCCTAAAATGGTCGATCGCACATTGCCGATTCAGCAATATTATGGTGTTGGGGGTGGACCTCTTTACGGGGGGGGGGGGAAAGATAGAGCCCCAGACAGACAGAAAAACACTCGCCCTTTATGTAAGAGATTGTGACCCTAACCCTAACCCTATTTAAAAAAAAAAGATTAATTGTTGTAAAAATTATTTGTTGTTATTAAATTGTTGTAAGTAAATCATCTAAATATTTTCACGATCCCCCCCCCCCCCGACGTCCCAAATATCGTGACCGTACGTCGAGCGGTTAAGATTTGTGCCCAACTGTTGACGCACGCACGCACGGCCGGACGCACGGACAATCGTGCGATTCTACAAGCTGCATCTGACTACGTCAGATGAGCTAACAAAACCCAACAAAAATCACAAAAAGGCACCTAACAATATCCTCCGTTATGTGAGGCAGCTCGATATTACATTCAGCTGCAGCCGTTGCCATCTCAAGCTGATCTTCTATGAACACCTTTCTTTGCGTAAATCAAATAAACATTTGTTTAAAGCAATTATTTACTAAAAAACCACATTATTCTCTGAATATATTGTTAGGTACAATCATCCAGCAAACGGAAGCATTTAACTAGGCCACGCAAGTTCACGATCCTAATTTTATTTTGTCGGTTCATTATTCAACCATTGAAGTTTTATTTCACCTGACCTGCACTTCAAGCGCGAACAAATATCAATCGGTTTGGGTTCAGAAGACAAACGACACAGTGGTGCCACCTGTTGTCAGTATCATTATAAAACCACACATCTGCTTAGTGTCAGTCGCTTTCAGACAACCTGTGGTGCGACAATTGTGAGTGTGGTGGTGCATCTAAAATCTGCTACCGTTTAGCATTGTGGCATACTGATAATTTGTATGTAATCTATATATTACATTCCATTTTTTTGTTAAAATCGAGAAACAGCAAACCTATATGCCAATTAGCATTAGCATTGATATTACAGGTAAAATAAAGTAAAAGTCAGTGTTAACATTAAATGAGGTGTGTCATACACCGAATTACTACGCAAGCAGATAAAATACACTAACGTTTGACATACTTTCCGTCAATCAGAGGACAGCCTCATAAAACAGCCAGTGCTATTATGTGTGTTCTCAGTATCTGCGTAACTAATCAGTAACTTGTTCATCCACTAGATGGCGCAATATGCCAGACTGTGAGACAAACTCCACGACAGATGGCGCTCTCGCTCTGGCTCAATTCACCACTGCCACAAGTAAATTTCCGTGTGAATTTCTAACGCTTTTTTACCACAAGTTTTACAGGCCAGGTTACTCGTATCCTATGTAATAAGATGTGTACTAATAAAAGTTGCAAAGATATTAAAAATCCGACCATTATTTCATGAAAGATTTGATGAAATAGTGATAAGAAATAGTGCGCGGATTGTGCGCCCATTTACCTCTTTCAAATCATACGCTGTTTACAAATCGCCATTCGCTGGATTTCCCCGGAGCTCCGCCCACTTTAAAAATAGTGCTAGCCTTGCGGCAGTGGTATCCTGAGTTGTACGAAGTGGGCGCTGCATGCAGTTTGACTGTCAGAGTCAAGAGGGGCACCATACCACAGTTAGCAATAAGGGGCCCGTTGTCAGAAACAAAATTAGTCTTAACATTAACAATTTCTCCTAGACCATCGACATCACTTTGTTTCGTATTGTTATGAGGAAATCTGCTACGATTTTTCATTCTCATAACTTCGCAGCGTTTCTGTCAACGGTCTAAGAGAAAAAGTTCATGTTAAGACTAATGTTAAGACCAATTTTGTTTCTGACACCGGGCCCAAGGGGTTTGTGAACATTTTTGGCGTTTTATAGCTAAGCTAGATAGTAACGTTGGGGATAGAATTCAGATTTCAGTTGAGACATTATACCTCTATGCAGATTGAGAGACAGCAGAGAGAGATTGCAGTCATGGCCTTAGATGACAGAGATTACAGACAAAAAAAAAGATTACAGATAAGGCCTTAGATAAAACTATGAGACGACAGATTAAACGTTAAAAGAAGAGCGATTTCACAGTGTGAGCTACTGAGAGAAGGGAAGCGGAGGCTGTAACCTTTTGGAGATGAGAGGTTGGTAGGCGAATAGTGGGTGTGGGAGAGGTATAGCGCACATATGTGGCGGTGGAGAGGTATAGGCAATAATGTGGGAGTGGGAGAGGTATAGTGCCGAATATGTGGCGCGGTCGAGAGTTATGGCAATATGTGGCGGGTGGGAGAGGGATATAGGCAATATGTGGGGTGGAGGTATAGGACATATGTGGGGGGGGAGCGAAGTATAGCGCACATATGTGGGGTGGAGAGGTATAGGCGCAATATGTGCGGGGTCGGGGAGGTATAGGACATAATGTGGTGTGGGAGGTATAGGCACATATGTGGACGGTGGAGACGAGTTATACGGGACATATGTGGGTAGGAGATTGTAATAGCGCGAATATGTGGGGGTGGGAGAGGTATAGGCACATATGTGGGGTGGGAGAGGTATAGGCACATATGTGGGGGTGGGAGAGGTAGTAGCCGCGAATTATGGGGGTGGAGAGGCGTATAACGGCACATATGTGGGGTGGGAGAGGTATAGGATATGTGGAGTGGAGAGGTATAGGCCACATATGTGGGTGGGCGAGTATTAGCGCGAATACATGCTGGGCGTGGAGCAGCGTTATACTGGCAGAATATGTGCGGCGGTATGGAGGAGCGTATATTTAGTGCGAATATGTGGGGTGGGAAGGGTATAGGTGATATGTGCGGGTGAGAGACGTATGAGCACAATATGTGGATCAGGGTGGAGGAGGTTATAGGGCGTATATGTGAGGGTGGAGCGGTATTAGGAATATCGTGGGGTCGGAGGCAGGTATAGGCGGAGTATGTGGGGCTGGACGAGGTCAGGCAACATATGTGGACCGGTGCGACTCCGCAGCGTATGGGGATATGTGGCGGCGTAGGAGGAGGTATAGGCATATATGTCGGGTTGGAGAATAAGGTATATAGGCGAATTATGTGGGGTGGGGAGGTATGGCATATTGGGGGTGGAGACGGTATATAGGCGAATATGTGGGGGTGGGAGAGGTATAGGCGGGGATATCGTGGGGGGGGTGAGAGTATAGGGCGAATTATGTGGGGGGTGTGGAGACGCGAGAGTTATATGCGAATTTGGGGTGGAGAGATATAGGGAATATGTGCGGTGTTGTGACGGTATAGGCGAATATTGTGGGGTAGGGAGAGTATAGGCGAATATGTGCCCCGGGTGGAGAGTATAGCGCACATAATGTCGGGGGGGGGAGGTATATAGGCGGAATATGTGGGCGTGGACGGAGGGGCGGTATAGGCGGATATTGGGGTGGCTAGAGAGCGTTATAGTGCTGACTCATGTGGTGTGGAGGTATAGGCGAATATGTGGGGGTGGTGAGAGGTATAGGCATATGTCGCGGGGTTGGAGAGGTTAAGTAGCGATATGTGGTGGGGAGAGTATAGTGCGAATATTGTGGCGAGGTGCGCGAGCAGGTATAAGCGATATGTGGGGGGGAGCGGTTTAGGTAGCATATGTGGTGGAGAGGTATGGCACTATGTGGGGGTGGGAGAGTATATAGGCGATATGTGGAGGGGCGAGAGTATATAGGCGAATATGTGGGTGGAAGAGGTATATAGACGGATATTGATGGGGTGGGAGAGCGTATAGGCAGATTATGGTGGGAGTGGGAGAGGTATAGGCCTATGTGGGCTGGGTGGTATAGGCAATATGTAGGCGTGCGGAGAGGTATCAGCGAATATTTGGTCGGTCGAGAGGTATAGGCGAATATGTGGGGTGGGAGAGGTATAGGCGAATATGTGGGGTGGGAGAGGTATAGGCGAATATGTGGGGTGGGAGAGGTATAGGCGAATATGTGGGGTGGGAGAGGTATAGGCGAATATGTCGGATAGGAGGGGTACAGGCAAACAAGTGGGGTGGAAGAGATATAGGCAGATATGTGGGGTTGGAGATATGAGCCGGCATGTGAGGAAAACCCCTATACACGTGAATTGGGCATGTATTGGGCGCTGGAGAGACCGCGCAGAAAATCATCTTCAAATAGCAAGTCCGGTTTTGCTGACCTGATTCTTACCAACGCACGAGATGACGGAGGCAAAGCGTCACGCCGAGTAAATAAGTTCGTACGCGAGAGCTTAACGCTGGCAGCTGCACGAAGACAGGATCTAGCCAACACATCACGCAACAGCAACCCTTACATACACTGACCTCGTCCCCCCTCCGCATACATCAAACATGCACACAGGAAACAAGCGGAGGGCCGGTGCCTCCCGGTGACCATGTGCTGGTGGCTAGGTGGGTGCGACGAACGACTTCTTTTGATTTTAACACGTCCTACACCGGGTGGGGTTGTTGTTCATTGGGTGCCCGTTGTTCTGGCCTAATGCATGTTATGTTAGTAGTGGCTGTGAGACTAAATGTCTATACATGCCACACAACGTTGCTTGCGGTCTGGTTTTTTTCGGTGAGTGAATGCTTGTTTGGTTTAAACTTGTATTGCGTTGGGTGGTTGGTGCAGATTTTACTCATGATCTTCTCTATGTTAGCTGGGTGGGTGCTGGTTTGCTCTAGGACGTGTTGCATTAGGTGGACGGCTGCCACCTTTGTTTTATCTATTGTGTAAAGAAGCGGCTGTTAGTTTCAAGGTGTTAAGTAGAAAGGAACGATCATCACTTCCTCATAACACTAGGCTCGCTCTTCGCATGTGATTACTACCTAGCACTGACTCACCGTAAGCTTAGTACTGAAAACTCCTTCAGTGGCATTCTGCTATCGCGGCTGCAGTCTTCACCGATGCACGCACGGCTCTCGCACTCAAGCGCGGCTCACTTCCACCTTTGATGCACAACACAGCAGCTTCACGATGTACAGAAGTAGCTAGCTGCTCCACGAGATATGCATTCTCATGTTCCACTGCAAGCAGGTACGGGGCACAGCTCTGCTTACTTTCACTGCTATTTCTCCACCGCGTATTAAATAAACAGCAGATTCAAACACATGCAACGAGCTAAGCTATGCTTCTAAAACTGTAAACAAGAGACTACGGCTAGGATGCTGAAGTTGGGATGCTGAGATTGGGATGCTGAGATTGGGATGATGAGGCTGGGATGCTGAGGCTGGAATGCTGAGATTAGGAGCAAAAGAGGGTAGAGTAATTCCTAGTGGACATCACACATTCAACATGTATGGCAGCAGGGCCTGTGCCAAGCAGTAGTGTCCTCGTCAGACAGCACAATCACACATCACCACTCCACTCGATTCACTGATACACTGATAACTATTGCACAACTCCAGTTATTCCATCGAGTCAGTTATTCCTTGATAGAAACTATAGTATTTTCTGAGAGATAGCAGTATTTCTGGGGGTGACAAGCAGACACTCACATGCGGCACTCACACACAACAGGCCGACGGTAGATATACACTCTCTCGCGGTGATGTTCATATACCCTCTGGTCACCGAACCCTATGCTATCCGGTTCGCTGTGTGGGTATGTATGTCTGCAACAAGCGCACGCGAGTAACCAGTTCAAGACTATCCCTCAGACCTCCAGCACCACGTCGCTGAGCACAGGGCGTTCAGGACGTGGCGTCAGTCTGAGAAGCAGCCCCGTAATTATAATATGGACCATATAAAAGGTGAACTAGACTGCATGACCCAATAGGCAGGACCCGTGTGCTAGTGCCACACTTTCTAATCGCACCCACTTACTTTCATCCATTCACCTACATCACGCAAGTCAACTATGACAGCAAGGAGGTGAGGGGCCCGCCGGGACAGGCTGCTAGCACTACACAGTTGGCGCAGGAAGGACCCAATACTGGCCTGAAGGAGGCAATACTGGCCTGAAGGAGGCAATAGCGAACTCAACTCGCTCATTCCACAAGGAAACAAGGTGGTTAGAACCGATTCGCTCCATACGAGACTCGACTTGCGACACATTAAACGACTACACAAGCGACAAAACGTCCCACTCACCCCCTATCAGCACCCCCACCCCCCGGCTATACATAGCTAGGTCGTCAGCGCGCGACGGTGCATTGTCCTAGCGGGGTGAGTTCAGAGAGGCTTAGGTGATTTCACTAACCCACATACGAGAGAGATGCCAGATAGAGTTTGCGTACCTTTGTCTCTCTGGGAGCGTGTCGCTGACCAGTAACGAGACTAACTCTGGCACAGCGTTCTCAGTTTCACTCGTCGATCGGCGGACATGGCCGCCCCGACCTTCACGTGACGCTGAGCTGCATGTCTACTCACGTGAGATCGAGCAGCAGACGAGACTGCTCAGCAACCGCACGCGTCGTCGGTCGTTATGAGTCTCTCTGATGAGAGTCCGATCTGTTTTACGACGACGATGATGATGATGATGATGATGACGACGACGACGACGATGATAATAATGATGATGATGATGATGATGATGATGATGATGATGATGTTGGTGATAAAGGTGATGACGATCGTATTGTCTTACTCCTTGCACAACGCTACCAGCTACATGCCTGTTTCTACTGCCCGAATACCAAACTGCCCGACCTTCTTTGCCTAACTCCACCAAACGATCACGTATCGAACGTGTTGTACAGAGACTATTGTATACCCGCACCGTACGTACCCACGATCATATCAGCAGTGAATGAATCTGTTCACGCATGAGCATATCTAAATTCTTACAGTATAATCAATCCTACTGGGGCTCGATATAGCTGTAGTACTAGAGCACTCGTTATCGCTGCCTCAGATCAAGCGCAGTGGCAGCAATACAGAGTGCTATAGTACTAGCGCTGAGAGGGTCTATGTCCCCCGGGGTACTGCCGGAACGTACCCTGGGTACGGTCCGGTATACCGGAACGTACCCTGGTACTATCTAATATGCCGGACCGTACCTCGCCTACTCCACTAACGAGTCTAGGGAGTCGCCTACGCCTACTCCCTAACCCTAACCCGAACCCTAACCCTAACCCTAACCCTAACCGTAACCCTAACCATATCAGATAGTGACCAGGGTACGTTCCGGTACACCGGACCGTACCCAGGGTATGTTCCAGCAGTACCCTGGGGGACATAGACCCTATGAGCAGTACTAGCGATAGATGTTCGATAGCACCAAGATAGCACTAATGATACGCCTTCACAATCGGTCTTTACATCTATCTCTACGAAGCGGTAAGGCGAAATAAACGGAGAGCAACGAATCTACCGCACGATAACGATAAGATGCGTATGCGTGTTGAAATGATGTTTAAAAGTGTACCTTAATCACTTGTACAGAAAGTAATGTCGTTTTTGTAATATATATTTGCTTTGTGTAATAATCTCGTCAGGATCGTCAGCGTAGGTGAACTCAGCGCTGTGAATATTTCATGCTCCATCTGGCCCCTTAATCAGACGCAATACTGGATCACAAACAAACCCTCTGTGTGAAAAACCAGCAGCTAATGTGTGCTATAATGCTTTTAAAACCGTAATTTTAGCCAAATCTTGGTTAAACAGTACCAGACAATGTTCAACAAAACCAGCCAATGTATTGACACAAAATGTGAAAGTAGTAAAGGATGTAAAACGAGCAAAAGAACTATTGCACGATAAGGGGAGCAGCCAGGATCAGACCATGACAGTAACTCATGCAAGAACTCAGGCAATAACCCCACAGGAACACCGTAAGCAATTTCTCGCCTTGTTACCCGACCTAGCAAACCAGGGGCAGGTCAGTAGGTAGTCATTCCGATATTCAATGCAGCAACTGTTTAGTCGAATACAGGTCATGTGACTCATGTCAAATTAATTTTTGAACGTTCACATGTAAAATTAAGTTTACCACGGTTTTTACGGGGCGTGGCAGTAGTTTATATAATTTATATAAAATATTTAATATACATAATATACATACATACATACATACATACATACATACATACATACATACATACATACATACATACATACATATACATAATATACATTAATTAAAGTGCCAATTAGGTGTGTTTAAGTTTTTAAGATTATGAATTATTGGATGAATGTGAAGACCTCATCTCGCTTTTCTGAGTAAAGCCTATGTGTAAACGCAGATTCCCTACAGACAGGAGGCTGGGTATAATTCTTAGCAAAAGTCAGGTACAATGTTAACTTTTTGGGTTGACTCAACTTGACTGTGCCTTACCTAGAACACTACAGCAGTGACTGATGCATTGCCCCCCCCCCTCCCCCGCCGCAGTCCCGCAGCCCAATAATCATTAAACTCTGACTGTCAACCACTGCTCCAATGTGTTTGCCCTTGTGATGCTATTCTGTAGCCACTGAGTATGTCACAGGTCACCATTGTTTATCCAATGTCACTAATGATTCCCCGCATAATCGGCTACTGCCTCAATTTACTTTCAAACAAGCCAGCACACGTGTTGCCATGGAAACCAGGTGATCGGCTCATTCCTATGTGCGGCTGATCCGTTTATTCCTGTAATCTCATACAACTTCCTGTCTGACATAATTGCATGTGTCCACTAGGCTGTAACTAATAAGCGTGCAATGCTGAAATTCATCTGCGGACGGAAATCCATCAACTACATTAGAACGAGCATGCATGAGTGCCGACGTAAATAAGTAACAGCAACGACTGATCCAAAACAAGTAGAACAAGACATTTGAGGCCAGATTTTAAAATTCACCCACTAATGAGCGAGCGACTAGGGCTATTATTCCACCCACCAGAAGTGCCATCTACGTATGTCTGTATGTATAGCATTTGCATAGTGGAGCACACACTAGTTACCCACCATGGATGCCTTCTATGTGTGCGAGTAGCCTTTGCAAAGGGGAGCACACACTATAGTTACCCACCAGCACAGCCCAGATGTGTTTGAATATCACATAATGTTTGCGAGTATCACCTACAGGGGATACATGCATACACTTACAGTTACACATGCGCCAGCAGTGCTGCTTGTGTCTATGAGCATCACATGTAGCAGAGATGAGAACGGCCCCGGACGAAATCCACTGGAAATATTTCTACTTACTGGTAGAATAGCGCAAAGTGCTATATTGCGCAGCGCAGGTCCTAAGCACTATTGGGGGGTCTGGGGGTTCTCTTCCAGATTTTTTTTTAATTAGATGCTTGCAGACGCGTTCTGAGGCACAGAAATTTTTCGAAAATTAGCTTGTTTATGAACGCCATACATTTGTCGGCCGCGGGATAGCGAGCTCAGACGGTAAAAGAGCATCACTAGTCGCAGGACATTTTTCCACTGTCCGCGGTTGGCAATACACCCCCCCCTACAGTTTTCTCAACGGATTTGCACAATGTGGAAAATTGATAATTTTCGAGAGTGAAAAATGCGGGAAACCGCGGATCCGCGGGAGATTCTCATCTCTGATGTAGAAGGAAACACACTAGTCACTCACCAGTGATCAGGCTCTGCCATTGCGGTTGACCAGCTTGACCCCTGACCTCTGGCAGGGTGTGGCTGCGAGCTGTGTGTGAGTGTGAAAGCTCAGCTGGTCGTGTGATACTCCATGACCTTCTTGCTGACTCTCTGTGGAAGATTCCGATGTATATGATACAAGCATACGTAAGCCCTAAATCAGATACACATACAGTGCTTACACACACACACACGCACACGCACACGCACACGCACACGCACACGCACACGCACACGCGCACGCGCACGCGCACGCACACGCACACGCGCACGCGCACGCGCACGCGCACGCGCACGCGCACGCACACGCACACACACACACACACACGATACATTACATACTAGACAGGGAGCACTCACGGAGAGTGCATACCTCTGCCAGCATGTAACATGTATGTGTATAACAGCTGGCTCGCTGCTGGCTGCTGCTGACTGGACACCCTAAGGCGAGCTGCTGCTGACTGGACGCCCTAAGGCAAGCTGCTGCTGACTCGACGCCCTAAGGCGAGCTGCTGCTGAATTGATCGCGCGAACACTAGTGGCTACACACACACACGAACACACACGAGACCGATTACATTACCTCCTTGGCGGAGGTAAATATAACCTTTAACTTCCATACACTTCCAATGCTACATACTTGCCAGATACATGCATAAACCCTAACCCAGCTGTTATTACTACCACGAGTGAATAAAAGCTTATTGATGTTTCTCAACTTATCAAAACATCAATTTAAAGATATTGTTGCAGTGAATATGCAGATGGGTTCTTGCCTAATTAATCACAACCAACTCAAATCAACCTGACATTCGCCTGCATCAAACCTACCTATCACTTTCATTTTCTTGTCTTTATTAATAACTTTCAAGGGTACACTGGAGGGTTACCCAGTTTACTACTTAAGATACTTACTTGCAGGCCACTTACTAAATACAGAGGGCATATATAATGCTCATAAATAACATGTGGATATCGAATATGAAGAGACCCACTACGTCACGACCGACATGAATCGCGGTGGGGTATTTTAATTTTTATCTTACCTTATTGCATTCTGTTACGGTTCTTCTTGCATTAATGTTTGCATATAGTTTGTGTTGAATGATACCATGTTCATTTTGCTGTATTTTAAGAAAAGAAAACTTTTGTCATGTCTGTCAAACCAAAATCCACTGACTGAACTTTTAGCAGAAGAGGTATGACTGATACTAACTTGCACATTCTATTCACTGATTTCTCTGTCACCACCAACACCACCTAAATTCCCTGCTGAAATGATACTTTCAAGCCCGCTGATACCACCACTCACCAAACTTCCCTGTCACTACCACTGACCCCACGCTATTACAACTATCCACCCAAGCCTCTGTTAGCTTCACCCATCGAAACCCACTGCTACCACGATCCACCTAAAGCCCTCCCCTACTAGCTCTGCCAATTCTAAATGCTCCAGAACTGCAGAGGGACTAGCAAGAGGAACTAGGTAGATCAAACCTGCCTTTTACCTTGCACACAACAAGTAATGTCTGCCAGTTATGGGACCAGTGAGGCTGTTCACACATGCGCAGGTAAAGTATAATAAAGAGCAAGCCTGCGCGCTATTGTTTTCTCGCTATTGTTTTCTCTCAAGGTTCCCCGCACACGCCCCTATTACCCTAGCGTAAATAAAGCGAGACTTACCACAATGTTCCTGTAGCAATTACGCACAGCTGTATATATAGCTGGCACCTGCCCCCACCTACTGACTCCCTACCTGAAATAAAAGCAATGAATGTAACGTCTGCATTGGCAACTCAAACATTACGACAAGTGCCACAGGCCATACAGGCAAATAGTCCTAACACAGGCAAAACGTAATTTCCTGAACATTGGCGCAGACGGCTTTTAACCTACAGGTAAGTGAGAAACGTAGCGCTAAAAGAGCCCCCTACACAATTTATAAGCAGATTTACGACATTAATTTGTTGTCCAACCCAGTGTTAATCGGTTAGTTAGGTTGTTTGAGATTAATGTTAACAGCTGGTCATTCTACAGACTTACCTGTGTGCTTAGGTGCAGCGCAGGATTCCTATATATGTCAACATGAGATCGGATCATTGAGACCACATGTCTACTAATGGTCCACTGCACCTACAGTGGCAACGACAAATACCTGCTCGTCATACACTCACCATGACCACACTACAGTCGCAAAACAACGCTGTGACAAACGTCCCCGTACACAATGAAAAGCACGCAGAAAAGCACCAACTAACGGCATTACATGTATCGTCTCTCCAGGTTGCCAGAGAGATGGCAGTGTTCACATGGATACCTGCATGCACACACACACATACACACACACACATGCACGCACGCACGCACGCACGCACGCACACACACACACACACACACACACACACACATGCACGCACGCATGCACACACGCACACACACACGCACACAC